AAATCTCAAGACTTTCACTCGCTTTTTTCCCTCTCTTTGACAGCTCCCAGACCCAGAATGCATTAGCAAGAAATATCCACAAGAAAATCCTGTCTCCCTCACTCCACTTTTGACTTGAAAATAGTGGCCCAAAACCTAAAATTTAAACCCTTTAAAATGCAAAGAAAACATATAGGCCAGATGAGTTCTGTGCCGTGAAGGTGAGAATAAAAGCGAAAACTATAGTTTTTAAACCCCAACTCATCTAAGCTTCAGATTTTGAGTTTTGATCAAATCATTCCTAATTAATTTTTATTTAAAAAAAATAAAAAAAAACATCAATTTTATTAAAAATAAAAGTTAATAAATTACAATCAAGTTTTATCGGGTCAATTTATTAAATCTGTCATGTCACACTAGATCATAGCTTTTCTTATATTTTTTTTAACTCAATTTGGTTTCAACCCAAGATTCTATATCAATTAAAATAGAACTATTGTTTAGTTATTAATGTGACTTTTGTCCTATAATCCCATAACTTTTATCTTCCGGATGAATATCATCATTAATAATAATAATAATTTTTTTTATTAATATAATTATTATTTTCTTGTAACTTTATAATATTATTATCACTATAATTATTATTATTATTATTATTATCTCATTTTTATATTAACTATCGCTATCATTATCATCTTATTATTAAAGTAACTATCATTTTATTATTATTAAAATTAGTACAACAACCATCTATAACTACCATATAAAGAAATATTAAGAAATAAGTTAAAAAATGTGAAAAATTTATTACTCATTTATATCCAATGCACTATGAATTATGGATTAAAATAATAATTTATAGTGCATAACTTTTTATTTTTACTCTTTTTTATTTTTTTATACTTTTTATCTAAAATTATCTTTGTCAATTTTATTTTTTAATATTGAGGTGGTTAAAAATTTTGCTTTGTAATTTTTTTTAAATACTGTAAATTGCTACAATATTTTTCTACATGGTTTTTCTATTTTATTTTTTATTTTTTAAAATTATATTTATCAATTTTATTTTTTTAATATTTAGTTGATTCAGAATTAGTTTTGTAATTTTTTAAAAAAATATTATTGATTGTTATAGTGTTTCTCCACATGTTTTCTTTTTATGATTTTCTCTAAAATTATTTTTTATTTTATTTTTTAATATTGAGTTGATTAAGAATTACATTTACAATATGTGATGGAAGTATTGTGGATTGCTATAATTTTTTTTCCACGTAGTTTTTTTTATGTTTTCTCTAAAATTGTCTTTTTAAATTTTTTTAAATATTATGTTGTTTAAGAATTATAATTACAAATAAATATAAGTAATACTATATCATATGGAAAAAAACAGTAACTTTCTTGCAAAAAACTATGGATTGATACAGTTTTTTCTTACATGTTTTTTTTCCAGTTTCTTTTTATGTTTTTTTTAATATCTTTTTCTAAAATCATCTTTGTTGGTGTTATTTTTTTAATATTGAACTGATTATAATTTAACTTTTTAATAAAATTTAATCATGTGAGGAAAGTATTGTAGTTTTCCTCACAAAACAATGTGGACTACTACAGTGTCTTTCAATATAGTTTTTTTATAATTTTTTTTTAAATTATCTTTTTTAATTATATTTTTTAATATTAAGCTAATTGAAAATTACAATTATAAATCATTACAAATAAGGTTAAATCATATGGAGAAGCACTTTAGCTTTCATCACAAAACACTATGAATTGCTATAGTGTTTTTAATATGGTTTTTTTGTCCTTTTTTTATGTTTTTTAATTTTATTTTTTAAAAAATTATCTTTGTCAATTTGTTTTTTAATATTGAGCTGATTGAGAATTTAGCTTTATAATTTTTTAAAAAAACATTGTGAATTGTTGTAGTGTTTTCCCACATAATTTTTTTCTAAAATTATCTTTATAGAATTTTTTTAGAATATTGAGTTGATTAAAAATTATAATTACAATAAAACTAAATCATATGGAAAAAGTATTGTTATTTTTCTTGCAAAACACTATAAATTGCTACCGTATTTCTCTAAATGATTTTTTTATAATTTTTTCTAAAATTATCTTTGTCGATTATATTGGAAAAAATGCTATAGTTTTCCTCATAATTTGTTTTCCTTCCAAAATTATCTTTATCAATTTTTTCTAATATTAAGTTGTTAGAGAATTTAGCTTTATAATTTTTTTGCTTTTTATTAACAGAAAAGCTAAATTACATAGTGAAAGCACTATATATTTCCTTACAAAATACTGTAAATTGTTACAAATCATTTTGTTTAGTCTCTAGATTTTTTATTAGCAACATAATTTTTTTTTTTTTTATAAAATATTGGCTTTATGATAATTTAAGTTTCTATTACTTATTTAGCGCTAATTTATAATTATAATACTATTAAATATATTTATTTTATAAACTCGTAACAGAGTACAGGCTTGCTATCTTGTTATTACTAAAAGGTTTCTGTTTGATTTGAATAAAAAAAAATATTTCAAACTCAATCATTTATTTTAATTATAAATCAAATTGAACGAAAGAAGAACTCAGATTGGTTTTATATTTGCTAAAATGAGAAAGTTCACTTTGAATTAAGTAGCTTTTAGTTGGGCTATTTTGATAGATTTTGATTTAATAGGTATTTAGTTTATAATAAGTTTTTTTTTTAATTTAGTTTGGTTTAGATTAGGTTGGTCTTTTTAGTTTCTAAAATCTAAAACCAAATTCAACCAAATTTTCTTTAAAAATTTATAATTGAAATTACCCAATAAATTCAGATAATAATTTGGTTCAATTGTTTCAAGTTGGTTTTTATCCATATTTCTGAATAATTGGTTAATTTGCTCGCCCATAACACCAAAGTCCTTGAATGACGTCCATCCTTTTGAAGTCATTCAACGAAACTACGAAAGGATTGGTGTTCTTATTAATAAATTGGATGTCAATCCTTGGATTTGGGTTTGTAGGTGCTTTCCTTCTTCTTCAATGGTTCAGTTTTGGAATGTCCAATCTCTCCACCATGTGGGTGAAACGTCTAATGTCCGGCAGGGAGGACTGACAAGTAGTCTATGTTGTCAGTGATTTATCGCGCTAACTTATTCCTATTTTAAGGTTTATTAACTCAGTAATTTATATTTTAAAGTGTTTTTATTTTAAAATATATTAAAATAATATATTTTTATATTTTTAAATATTTATTTTTGATATTAATGTAATAAAATAATTTCAAAACAAAAGGAAATTATTTAAAAAAAACATGGTTGAATATAATCCCAAAAACACTCTTTTATATTAATTAAAAGGGAGTTGCGGGAATTTTGAGGTTAAGTTTTACTGATTAAAATAACATGTAATCCTGGCATGTACTCCACTACACTTGAATATAACTAGGGTTATTTTCCCTTTGTAATTATATATAGACACATTTATTGTAAGAAATAATTCCAGTTTGCATGGCTCATGCACGTGATGGTAGTGAAATCTTAGGACTTTACAAAACGTCAAGTAAAAGGTAATATAATTTCAATTTTGAAAAGCAATTAATTTACCAATAAGTTCTATGATAATCTTTTACAACCAATAAATATTTCAGATATATATTATTATTATAATTGTAAATCTTCATTATATTAGAAATAAATTACCATACAAAAAGAAGAAAATACGATCCTTATTACTTGTAATTTTAATTTTAAAAATAAAAATTTACACTGTCATTAGCATAATGAGGTGCTCAAAACCATTTATAATTAAAAACTATAGCCATTTAAAAAAATAAAATTATATGACAATAAATATTTTTTTTTTTAAATGTTTTCTCTTACATTTCTCAAGAATCTTGAAATCAAACCCCTTACTTTTAAATGAGTTCGTTAGAATTGATTTCAGAGTTTAATGTCATTCTAAATAAATATCATAATCTGTAAAATTAAAAAACAAAACAGAACTCATATTACATATTCCTTATGGCAGCACACACACACACATATATATAAGATTATGGTGTTCATATCATATGTCATTAGCATAATGAGGTGCTCTAAACCATTTCTAATTAAAAACTATAGCCATTTAAAAGAATAAAATTACAGAACAATAAATATTTATTTTTTTAAAATGTTTTCTCTTACATTTCTCAAGAATCTTGAAATCAAACCCCTTACTTCTAAATGAGTTCGTTAGAATTGATTTCAGAGTTTGATGTCATTCTAAATAAATCTTATAATCTGTAAAATTAAAAAATAAAACAGAAATCATATTAGATATTCCTAATGGCAGCATATATATATATATATAAGATTATGGTGTTCATATCATAATTTAACATATACATTAACAAAATTCAAATGGATTGTTCATAAGTATAATAATATTATTAAATGAGCTTGTCAATTGATTAAAGCTAAAAATCGAAAATGTTCAAAGGCTTATGATTATCATGTACTGTATTTTATGTCCTAAAGTCATTGCATGGCCCACTGAATTAGGGCTTAGATACATAATGACCGACGAGGCACCTTCGCCGGAAGCACATAAAGCCGTGTTTGGTCCCACATGAAGAGGATATTTGATATCTGTTTTTTAAATATTTTTTATTTGAAAATATAAAATATATAAATTAATATATATTTTTTTATTTTTCATTATTTTTATATTAATACATCAATATAAAAAAATAAAAAACTAACTGTAAAAAAAATTAAATTTTACCCAACCCTTTTAAAACACAATACCAAACAAGGGCGAAACGTTTGATAATATCCGGCAATAATTAAGGGGTTGTTTGGAAAGGTTACAGCATCTGTTTTTAATGTGTTTTAAAAATATGTTTTATCAAAAAAATAAATAAAAATAGAATCACAGAAATCTTACGTCTTAAGCAAAAACTAAATAAAAAACGACAGAACTCATTTGTGTATATATATAATAATAATTAAACTAGCTGTCTTCTCTCTCTCTCGTGGAGCAGGTATTTTGTTAATTGTTTGATAATTCCTTATCCCCTACCTTTTCTTCTTTTTGAAATTCAAGATTTCATTTCTTCTTTTGCTATATTATCTAACAGAAACAATCTCTCTACAGTTATAATTATTGATCTGATCTCTGTTATTCTTATTCAAAATAAGAAATCATGTCGATGATCGATTCCTTCTTCAACAAAGGCTTTAAAGCCGCTAAATGGTAATTGATTTTTATCTTCCTCTATTTTGTTTTTCTCTTTTTTGGATTTGGATTTTGTTTGGTTTCTGAGAAAATGACGATATTAGTAATAAGAAAATTCAAAATCTAACCTTGATGAAATTCAATGTACAATCTATTTTGAATTTGTTGTTCTTTGGATAAATTAAAGAAATATGGACTGCTCAAAACTCTTCTTTTTTCATATTTTACTGGTTATTAGCAAAAAAAAAAAAAAAAGTTATCAATTAAGGATTTGGGTATTTGTCTCTTGTGCTGTAGGTATTTTGTTTATTCGAAAGTGAATAGAATTCATCGAGAATTTGGAGTGTTCTTACTTTTTTTTGAGTTGTTTTGATTAAATGCTATGATTACTTACTGTTTTTGGGGTTTGAAGTTTTGATGAGGATTGTTGTTTTTTCAACTTGTTTTGCTTGTATACAGTAAAACCCTGTTGAAGTTGACGATACCTCGGATAAAGTTGTTGAGGAACAGGAGAGAGATTCAGATGAAGCATATGCGTCGAGACATTGCTAAGCTTCTTGAAACTGGTCAAGAAGCTACCGCTCGCATCCGGGTTTGCTACTTTCTTATTAATATCATCTTTTATAGTGTGAACTAGCTTTGCTGTTCTTAGTCTTTTTAAGGTACCTGCAGAAGGAATGATGTTACGGTGTTGTTGATATTTCCATTTCAGGTAGAACACATAATAAGAGAGGAGAATATGATGGCTGCTCAAGAGATCATTGAATTATTCTGTGAGCTTATTTCTGTGCGCCTCCCGATTATTGAAACACAAAGGTTATTCCTCGCATTACATTATCTGTCTTGCACCATGTTTATTTCTCCTGGTTTGTTAATTCACTTTCCCTTTGGATTCTTGTCTTTTTTATGGCGCCTTTTGCAATTAGTGACTGGAAACTAACAGGGATAAATTTAGATGGTTTGTTTTCGTTAATATTTGATGTGCTGAACTAGAGATATCTCCATCTGCACATGAATTTTATAGGTTTGTTAACAGTGCATCATAGCTATGAAAGTTTCGTAGGTATTATTGCTTGTGTTTTCTTGAAGTAGCAGGCTTAAAAAAAAAACTGCGGACCTTCCCTGAAAACCAGAGAACCAAAAGGCTGAGGAAATGGAAGGTGGAAGAGCTAGTCATTGAACAAACTACTGATATTCATATCTATACATGCAAAAAGACTAGAGAAGCACAAACTTGGGATGGTTTTTAATGTTTTAACCTTTCTTAAGTTTTAACATACTACATCATAATGATGGATGTTTTTTTACTCCTCTAGGCTGCCCGGCTCTAACTCTGGAGAGTTGCCATTTCTTGGTCTAGGAAGAAATCGTGATTACTTTCTCGACTTGTTTTGGCTATAGCAGTGCCAGTCAATGATCTTTTATATTTTTTCTTTACCTTAGAAACTCCAGACCGTTGTCTAAATGTGGCATTTGACATAATTGTTTAAGATTAAGATTGTGAACTCTTAAAAGTGAGAATCAGGTCAAACCTGCAAGATAAAAAATTAGGAGGTTCATTGATGACTGTTATCTTATAGTTGCTATGAAATGTTAATTGTGAATTGGCAGAGGCATCATGGTCGTGGGATATCTTAAAATCAGTCAATACTATGATAGGTTTGCAGACAGTATAGTTACTAAGTGCCTCTTATAAATCCCCAAGTTGGATCTGATCTGACCAGTTATCGTCTTCATGTAGGAGTTCCAATGAAGCTGGGGAATCAATTTGTTTATGTTTCCTATCCTGTCAATATTTCTTTATGGTTATACAATTTCATGAATTTCAACATCTGTGTGTCGCTCTGCTATTTTATTTGCTTAATCGAGCATGTAATAAATTTATACCTATGTGAAATGTGTTGAAGAATCTCCGTAGGTACTTGGAGTAAGAACTCCACTCATTTTCTTAGGTTGTATTTTTCAAATGTCATTTTTTCCTTTTTCAGGGAATGTCCTCTAGACTTGAAAGAAGCAATATCCAGTGTTTGTTTTGCGGCTCCAAGATGTGCGGATCTACCTGAGCTACAGCAGGTTCAAATCCTATTTGCTTCCAAATATGGAAAGGAATTTGTAGCTGCTGCAACTGAGCTTATGCCATCTTGTGGTGTCAATCGTCAGGTTTTTGGGATTTCTATCTTATGCCTTAATTTATTTCTCGCAACAAGTTCCTTCTGCTTATGCCTCTTTTCTTCTGACATTTTTCCTATAAATTGAAATCCTGCAGTTAATAGAACTCTTATCAGTTCGGGCACCTTCACCTGAAAAAAAACTGAAGCTTCTGAAGGAAATTGCTGAAGAGCATGAGTTGGACTGGGACCCAGCTGCATCTGAAACTGAGCTCTTAAAAAAGCACGAAGACTTGTTGGTAAGTAGTTTGGTGCAACTGCCTTGATTCTTGTTATCTTTCCATGTCTTATGTGTGTTCTCTCCTTGTCAGAATGGTCCAACACATATCACTGATCCAACACCCGTTGCTGGTCCAACACATATCAGTATGTTGCCTCTTCCAAAAGAGAAGCATGATGAAGTGCTGAATTCTCCAGATCATGCTGAGCATGAGCAGCCTAATTCCGATACAGATTTCGACCCATTAGATTTTCCTGAAGTTCCTAAGGTCTCACCTTGGCTAAGTGCAAATTCTGCCTTGGCACCAGAAATAGCTCCACCTGCACAAGCTGCTCTACACCCTGACATTGATCATGAGTCATCAAATCACTCCGTGACTCACAAAGATCTATCACAAGAACCTCATTTTGAACAGGGTGATGTGATTGAAAATAAGTCAGTGGCTACCAGGGATGAAATTTCAAGCACTGCAGTCAGTGACAGGGAAGAAAAACAGTTTCTTCCTTTCATTTGTCCCCCTTCACTATCTTCTGAATCGTTTTCAGCAATACCAAGCACTTCGCCACCCTCTGCATCGAGGACCGAAAGTGAGGCCAATTTGGATTTGCAGAGTGTTTCAGCTGCTGTGCAGGGCACTGTGGAGACTGCTAAACATGCAGCAATACCGAGCACTTCACCACCCTCTGTAATGAGGACCAGAACCGAGGCTAATGTGGATCTTCAGGATGTTTTAGCTGCAGCACATGCTGCTGCCGAGTCTGCTGAGCGTGCGGCAGCAGCGGCTCGCTCAGCAGCAACTCTTGCACAGGCAAGGATCAGTGAGCTAACCAAGAAAAACAGTGAGAAGTTCCCTGAGGATGATAACCCGTTTTTTGTGGATACTTCTGATCATTCAGCCTCTACTGAAAGGCCACACTTTGTTCACCAACAATCTTTTGGTGACCCAGGTAGTGTTCCGAACAATGTAGACTCCCATCGACCTCATAAAGACCACCAGGCATCAGAGTTGTTGGATATTCCTTCCTTTGAGAAACTTGAAGTGTATTATGATTCTCCTCGTAGTGATCATGTTGTTGAGCAAGGGTCTGTTAGTCACCAGCCACAGAGATTGCCTTCAATGGATGATGAGCCATACTTCTCATACCCAAATTTGTTCACATCACAAAACTCAAATCTCGGATCTGGTGCACAATCTGCTACAGATCATTCCCGTTCCACATATGACCTTTAAGTTGAGTCCTGTGCATTGGTTATGTGGTGAGTTGATTGACTGCTACGTAGTTTATCGATGCAAATATGGTATGAGCCGTTTTTATTGTTATTTGTAGAGTGTGAGATTATTAGTCGTAGTGGTGTCAATTCCCTAGAGTCGTTTCTGCAATCATGTTCAGTGAGGTTTATAATAAGGAAATTTCAATTACTTGATGTATTTGAGAAGCCATCTCAGACAAGTTATATATTTTGTGTTCGTCAAGTTTAGGATTTATGTACAGAAACCGTATGATGTTGCAGGTAATGAATTCATATTTCCTTGAATTTTGACACAATTTTGAGAATGTCATCCAGTAAAGAGTGCAAAGATGTAACAAAACCTTATGCCTGTGTTCACTGGTTTTGATTTGCAATTATTTGGAAAAGTATGATTTATGCAGACAAAATACAGAAGTTTCAAAATATGGAACTTATCTTTATTTTTTTGTCTTACACTTACTATGCAACCAAACACATTACAGATTAATTTTTTAGATAAAAAGCATTGAAATTAAATCAAGTGCTGATCATTTGGACAACCGTCCATAAAATGCGGGTGACGTAAGTTGAAAAGACAAATTATGCATCCTTCCACATCATAACCAAAAAAAAAAAGGTGCGAATTTTGGTTTGTTTATACCATTTGCATGCTTATGGAAAAGAATGTTAGTAACGATTGCTCAAGGTCCTTATAAACCAAAAGATTATGATTTTCAAATAAAAAGTTAGTTAACTCGAGTTAATAGGTAGAATTTATAGTCTAGATTATAAAATTAAAATAATTTTATAAAATATTTTTTAAAAAAATCATGAAATTATTTTTTAAAAAAAATAATATTGAACGATGAAAAAAAAAAAGAAGTTGATTCCATTAACTTCTTAAATCCATAACTTGAATCATTCATCATATATGAAAAAATTATAAAGTTCAATTCTCAACAAATTAAATACTAAATGATGAAATTAAAAATAACAAATCAATTATATAAAAGGATCTAAAATATAAAATATAAAATAAAATAAAGAGAATTAAAATAATAAATAAATTAGAGAGAACAAATTTTTGATTGAAGGGTTAAATTGAAAAAAATAACAAAAAAACAAAAAACATAACCAAATTATATAGAAAAACATTACACCATAAACTTGGATTGAAGGATAAAGTTAAAAATCATCAAAACTTTTATAATAGAACCAAAAAAAAAAAATAGAAATCTAAAGAAAAAGTAAATTAAAAAAAACAATTTAAATGATAAATTAGAATTGAAAGATTAAATTAAAAAAAAAATTCTAACAAAATAGTCAAAAACAAAAATTATAAATTAAAATAATAAGGGTTGAAGTTGAAATATTGATATTTAAAGAGAACCAACTTGTATTTTTCAGGCTAGAAAAGATAAAATAAAATAAAAACATTGATTGACAACAAATCACTTTGTCGCTATTAACATGCACCGTATTAGAAGAAAAAGAATATGACAATACATCCACATACACATAAATGAGCATTTTATGTCACTGGAAGGCTTCGTGCTCGTTATTCAGAGTGCGTAAGTGTCTCTTACATGTTGACGCATGCTAACAGGTTTTTTTGATTAATTAATTTTTAATTGAATTAAAACCTAAAATGCCATTGATTATCCCAATAATTACAAGAAAAAAAATAAAGGAAAGGACCAATAGGCCTTTGAACCTATGATTTAATTTTTTTATTTAAAGAATATACTTGTCAATTTACTATACATTAATAAATGAAAAGATATTTATTCATTTTTTTTCCAGTTTTATAATGTTTTTATTTTAGGGGTGGTTAGGTTATTTTACTTTTTTAAAAATAAAAATACAATTATATACCTGTATAATCCTTTAATAATTAATGCACAGTTCGAAAAGATCTACATACTCCTAACACAAAAACAATTAGATTCAATTTTAGCATTTTTATATAAATTTTATGAAAATAAATAATTAATTGGTTGGTATTACTTCATATTATCTGGCATAATAATACAATAATTATCGAAATTTGGAGTTTTTTTTCTTTCTTTCAAAAGAGCACAATTAAAAAGTGCGTAAAATAGCATATTTAATTAGAAAAATAAAATAGTTTAGTTGTAATCTTTCCCCAATTAAATTTTAAATTGTTTTATTTTACTATCTTTTTTCGACAGAGCTGCATTGAAAAAAAAAAAAAGTCTCAGAAATGGGAAGAAGGCAGGGCACATGTGGGGGCATTTAAGTCTTCTGCTTCGCATGAGGAAGTGATGTCGCGAGGTAGTCTAGAATCCCACATCGAGGAAAAACAAGAAGGGACACAAGGCATGCGGGCATAAATGAGAAGGCCTCAACAACTATACACATACTTACCTGGACGGGATCAATGGGTGATCCTGAAGGCTCATGGTCTAGGTCTGTGACCTCCATTGCACGCTGGAGGGGTGCTGGCCTAAGGTCTCCCCAAGAGGGAGAGCCTACGTCAAAATTTGTGGCAGAGGGGGCTGCGCCAGTCGCGGCCCTTATCCAATTCTAGTTCAAAATTGGCTTCACAAGCTTCCCAAGGTTACTGATCAGCTTCATACAATTCGTAAAACCTCGGCAACCCTGTTGTTAATGTGGCTTCACAAGGTTACTGATCTGAAACCCAAAGTTGATACAAGATCAGCTTCATACAATTAGTAAAACCTCGGCAACCCTGTTGTTAATGTTTAGTCGATGTCCAAAGTTGATGAAATTAGAGTGATTGACGCATGGGTTAAACAGATAGTCCATGGAGTTCGGTTTCCTCGATCAACAATAATTAATTTGAACTGAGCATGCAGGCAGCAGACAAAGATTGAACTGCACAGGCCGCATCTAAATGTCATTGACTCGAAATGCCGGCAGATGACAAATTGCAGTTCAACAAAGAGACTTGTATGCACAGAAGGTAATGAATAGAATAATGCATGCTGGACTTACACGAGCTTAAAATCAGGATACATTCATCAAATCAGAAGAAAAAAAAAGGGAAGTATTCTCTTCTCTTGTAAATGTGCTAGGGTCACCTCGGACCAGATAATTCGACTGCATGTAGATTTTCTGTGGAGTCAACAATCCAGTCAGAACTAGGATGAGGAGCTAATTCCACCTCCTGACGTAGAACTTCAACCTTTTGCCATTCATCCCATCTCTCTGCCAAACCATCACCTTCAAGCATTCTCACCACATCCGACATCTTAGGCCGCTCCATTGGGGAGCCTTGGGTGCAGAGCAGGGCAACCTGGATTAGTTGCTCCACCTCAGCTTCCACATATTTGTTTTGGAGATCAGGATCGACTAGCATTTCTAGCTTTTTCTCCTTGAGAAGTCCTTTTACCTGAGACAGTATCAAGTGCATCAGGTACATGAACAGACAAAACTACACAATACCTCGACAAAAACATAAATAAAATAAGAGCACAGTGAAATGTGCATACCCAATCAAGTAACATGACATCGTCATCATTTGCCAGCCGGGCAAGGTCAAAAGCCCTCTGTCCAGTGATTAGCTCCAGAAGCATGATTCCATACCCAAAAACATCAGTTTTCTCAGATGATTTACCAGTAGATAGGTACTCTGGAGCAATATGTCCTATTGTACCACGGACAGCAGTGGTGACATGAGTATCCTTGTAGTCCATCAATTTTGCGAGCCCAAAATCCCCAACAACAGCCTCGAATTCCTCATCCAACAAAATATTTGCAGCTTTAACATCCCGATGAATAATCTTTGGGTCACAATGATCATGCAAATAAGATAAACCCCTTGCAGATCCCAATGCAATTCGCTTTCGTGTTGGCCAATCTAGAGGCGGCTGTGAAGGTGGGCGTTCTACAAACATACATCCATGGAATGGTTAAGACAACGCTATAATGGCGGGCACAAAATGTAGTATCGAAAGGCACAAAGACTGATCGACCTATCTGATTATCAAAATAAATTGTGCCAAGGCAGTTAAAATATCAAAGATAAATGCCACTGATGGCAAGCTTTACCCCTCAAACATGAAGCAACACTTCCATTAGCCATGTAGGGATAAACAAGCAGTCTTTCAGTTGGTGTCATGCAAAAGCCACGTAAGCGGAGGAGATTCCGATGCACAGCCATGCTTATCATCTCTACTTCTGTTTGAAACTGCAACTCTCCTCCAGGTGTACGCTCTTCTTTAAGTCTTTTTACAGCCACCAAGGAGCCATCTGCTAGACGACCTTTGTAAACCTTACCAAACCCCCCTCTACCCAGAATATTTTTGTTGCTAAAGGTATCCGTTGCAACTTGTAATTCTCGCAGAGAAAACCTTTTAAGCTGTCCTAGATGAACTTCAGGATCCTCTTCAGCTGCAAAGGAATATAAACATACTTAATCAAACCATCCTACAAGTCTAAAATCTGTTTTCAGTTAATACACTAACCAGGCACATCAAAGAAGAATTCTTGAGGTTTCCTCCGACGCCACCAAGCAAATGCCAATGCTGGGGCAGCAAACAGTAAGGCTGCACCAGCAGCAACTCCTCCAGCAATTGCTCCAGTGGCACTATTCCCTCCTGAAGTTACATGCAAAAAAAAAAGCCCAAAATTAGCACAACAAGATATCAAATTCTAGACAAACTATTCACTTGTAAACCAAATATCGATCAAAAGTTAATCAAGTCAGACAATACATTTCATTTTCACTGATTATTAACAATAACATTAAGAAATGGTAGTTCTGCCCATGGCAGGTGAAACCTTGATGCCTTTGCAGACAAAAGAGATGAAGCTTCCAACTGGTTTTCCATTACATACTTGCCCACAAATAGAAAACTAAATCAAGGAAAGTGAAAAACAAGAGATAAAAAATTATGGTTTCTTTAGGTGATGGAATTGGCAGTGTAAAACATGTTTTAGACAACAATATCCATATCAGATGATAAATTTCATAAAATATCACTGCATTAATCAAATGGGTTTTATAATCACAATTAAATCAATTTCAATTAATTTAAAACCTACAAGTTAAAATGTGTAGCAGTATATTTTTGTCTAAGTAATGTTATATCATGTATTAAATATTCCGGCCAGAGCACAACACGAGAAATGAACAGGAAAAAAAAAACCTTCACATTGATACAGACCATGCAGACACAAAATTCAGGAGTATTTTTAGCAGTATACATAACTTGGACCGCGCAACAGCTCACATTGACCATGAAATGCTAGAACAATGAACTTTGAGCATAAAAATCCCAGGTCCAGTTCACATGCCAAGAATGATGACCAAGCACGCTGAAGGGTTAAGAAAATACTACAATGGGAGAGCATGCTCTACACCTTTTTAAGTTC